GCTGCGGGGAGTGGGCGTAGCCGCCGCAGGGTGGGGAGCTCTCCCGACCTGGCCCTCCTGGGAGGCGGGAGGACAGTGAAGGTGACAGTGGGGACCAGGGAGCGGGCCTAGCCGCAGCAGGGTGGGGAGCTCTCACGACCCGGAACCCTGAACAGCGGCATGTGGGGAGAGGGGACAGCAAAGGTGACAAGGGGGTCAGGAGGGCATCTGCTGCATGCAGGGGTGTGTGGGGAAGAGAAGGGAGAGCGCCACATAGAGGCAGCACAGGAGAAGGTCCGAGGAGAGCTGCGTCTCTGGCCGAGCACGTTCCGAAAGCCACAGGGCTGACCAGGGCGGAGGTGGCAGCTGGCCCTCCAGAGCTCCAGGACCTCCGCCCAGCGTGGCTACACTCTACTTGCTATTTATACGTGGGAGCTCCCTGAGGGCAGCGCTGCTTCTAAACATCCCAGACCTGAGACCCCATCCCTGCCTGGAGAGAACCCGAGAGAAGGCAACCTCTGACCTTCAGGTGCCTGGCCATGATGGCGGGGGTCTCGTCATAGTCTCCAAAGGTGTTGGGAAGACCTGCAAGGATGTCCCAGCCGTTACTGAAAACCACCTTCATGACAGGCGTCACAGTCGCGACGTTCTGACGAGACGAGCAGGCACACAGCACGGCTCCGACGCGGCACCCGAAGCAGCAACGGCGGCGTCAGCACACACGTCTTCCCCGGGAAGGACCCACCTGCGCGTTCCCAGTGCCCATCTCACCCCTCTCGGGGAACCTGTCCTTGTCGCCCAACTCCTCAGGGAGGCGGGGAGTCCCACCCAGGCTCCGAACACGGAGCACCCAGCGTGCGAGCGAAACCGCAGCCAGTCTCCTCTCAAACAGATCATCCTAAGCAAGCGCCCGTCTCCTGCCTGCGCTCCCCTTCCGGTCCTCTCACCACGGGCAGGTGACAAAGCGCACACTGGAGACAAAGGCTAGAAAGTGGTTTTAGCTCCAAGTAGCGAGGCAGCACCCAAAATGCTCACTGGGAGGCCTGGCTATACAGGGCAGGGCGCCGGTATTAGGTGGGTGGTTTGAGAACTGTCTAACACCTTCCGGATTTTTAGAGAACGAACTAACAGTCCTAGCTGTTGAGGGGAAGGCAGCGACCCCCGAGACCGCCTTCCTGCTGTCCTGCACAGACAGGCCTCTGCACCCTCCCTGGCCAGGCCTGCACGGCAAGCGCTGCCGGCGAGGCGAGGCGAGGCGAGGCTCGGTCACAAGATGAGAGTCACCCTGACATCAGGTCCCTTCCTGCAGTCGCCAGCTGACCCAGGTGTCCCTTCAAGCGTAAAGGGACATGCTGGCCAGGCCCAGACGCCGCACTGGGAGCCTCCTGCCGAGGGACAGCTGCGCAGACCCACAGAGCAAACCCCACTAAGGTCTGGACGCCCCGGCCCGTCTCACGTAGGGCCTGGAGCCTCTCCCCACGGCGGCGCCCTGGACACACCTGCGTTGGGGTAGCAGAGGACGTAGGCTGTGGTGCACTTTCCGATCGTCTCGATGAAAGGCCGCATCTCGGTGGCACCCAGAGCACAGTTTAATCCAATGCTATAGAAACACAAAGAAGGCGTGAGAGACATTATCTTACATTCAAAATATTTACACACACGAAACACAAGGAGCTGTCGCCAGAGCACAAGAGCGAGCTCAGGTGAGGCACGCAGGCCCGGCATGAGCCGGTGCTCAGGAAACGTGACTGTTTTTTTAAAAAGCTTTTGCCATAGGGCCGCATGCATTTGCCAGAGACAGGACAGTGTGGAGTCACCGCCCCCTCCCTCCTCCGCCCTCAGAACTCCGTCTGGCAACGCTCCTCGTCGCTGCTGCTAACGCCCTGGCTCTCACGAGGAAATGGCTGGGACTTCGCAGGCACGTGCCAGAGTCTACTCAGTGGCGGTCCCAGGTGCAGAGCCTGCTCTTCATCATGCATTACGTGTGGGGTCAGTTACGCGATGCTTTTTCACACTTCAGTGTTTCCAGTTACAGGGTGTAATTTATTTTTTTTAAGAGAGAGATTTTTGGTATAGGGTGCTTGTGCTTCCTGGAGAGACAGAGAAATCACCCCGAGGGGAAATGGCCACGCCACAATCCCTTCTCCTCCATGCTCCTCTCAGGATTTTGAACACTGATGTATAGGCACCCAGCATGAGGTTTAAGCCACCAAGTCTAGGACTCGAACTGCATTTGCCCATGTGGGAGGGAGCCCAGTGACTAACCATCACACCATCTGTGGTCCTTTCAGGGCATAATTTCCAAGCCGCTGGGTCTGGGACTTGAACCACGGTCAGCCACGGGGGAACCCAGCACCTTCCCCACACCACCTACTGGCCCGCAACTAGTATTTTTAGGGCAACGACTATGGTAAAAGCAAATGGAGCGCTCTGAGAACAGCCTGGGCCAGGGGAGCAGAGAGGGCCTGCAGTGGAGTGAGGGGAGCGTGGGCCACACGGTTGCAGGGAGGGCGAGTCCGTGCATGTCAAAGGCACGGGAGATACACGTGTCCTGGACACCCTCCCATTTCTAGGCACGAGAAGCTAGGAGGAGGAGACGTAGCGGGAGCTACGGCAGAAGAGACTGTACTAGCCACGGTTTGAAGCCACGCCCGAGCTTTAGAATCCCCACCTCAGTCAAGCTGGGCTGCTTCTGGTGCCCGAACATGAGGGGTCCGCCCGGAAACCCACACAGCACTGTCCTAAGACCTAAGTGACTGACAAGAGCGTGAAGCGGTGCCAGGGAGGACAGTCTCAAAGCGCAACGGGGCACTCGACGGCCAGGCAGCATGGGACCAGGCCGGCCCCTCAGGGTGGCGCACGGGGACAGCGGTCTTCTGAAGCCCCCGGGAGTCGGAAGGGCTTTCCAACAGCTAACATACCACGGCAGGAACACGGTCCCCTCCCAGGTCACCACAGTCACCAGGAAAGGCCCCTACGGGCAAAGCACTCACTCACCAGAGCGGGTCTGCATGAGACACGCTGATGACAAAGGCCTCTCCCGTCTGTCCAGACAGAGTCCGCCCACTCTTATCAACAATCGTGCCCGAGACCTGGACCAACAGGGCAGTCAGTGACGACGTGGGAAGCCAAAGCGCGCCTCTGCACTGCCACAAGCTGAGTCGGGGCGCCGGCGAGGAGGCAGCACTTCGGCAGTCTGCACAGCCAGAGCCGAGGGCGGCAAGGAGCGGGCCACAGGAACCACACGAGGGCCACGGCGGCCTGCAGACTCACAGTGGGAGACCAGAGCCCACTGAGCAGGGTCACCCGGCCTGCCATGGAGCACCAGACTCCCACGGCACTCCCTGCCCTGACGGAGCCCATTCAGCCCTCAAGGCAGGCAGCAGGCTCGCGTGGCTCCACCACCGGGCCCTTCAGTGCCACGGTCAGCTAGGGAGCCAGCAAGCTGGGCTTCCTCCAACAGCCTGCTCCCCGACGCTGCGCCCGGGCACGGGCCTGCCTCTGCAGCCGTCAGACTGATCTCAAACGGTGGAGAGGGTGAACAGATGCTGAAACGCCCCATCGAGAGTTCTCTACCACGTGAGGAGGGATCGCCTCTCAAGATGACGATCATTAACAAATGACAAGCAAGTGTTCTGGAACTTACAAAGATAGGCCGGGGAGTGTACTTCTCTTCAAAAAGTTCTTGGAGCGCAAACAAGGCTGCCTGTCAGGGGAAAGGATGGACATGTTTATTTCTAAGAGACGGCGTCCACAGCCAGGCTAACCGGCAGGGCACCCCCTTCCGAGACTGCTTCTGGGGACACCGACACCCAGCCTCTTGGGCAGAAGAGATGCCTCCACTCTGCACAGTGCAGAGCCCAGCACCGCTTTCTCAGCTGTAGCACTGTACTACAAAGCAGGCCAAGCTAGCAGGTGGCATGGTGGCTAAGGCACTGGACTCCCACAAGGCCAACCACGGTCTGAGACCTGGACATGTGTGCATGTGTGCCCCAGATCCCAGGAGTGGGGACGGGACTGTGGCGCCATCCCGGTGGGTGACCTCTCGCTTCCTTCTCACGGTCTTTCTCTGGTGAGCACGCCCAGGTCCAGGACTCGAACCATGGCTAGCCACATGGGGGTCCAGGACCGTAACCACTATACTACCTGCTGGTCCCCAAAAGTAGCATTTTTAAAAGCTAAAAAGATTTATTTTGGTGTCTTTCTTATTCTACTGGCTATGGTTTTAAAAATTTAAGAATAAAACGAAACAAATACAGGACACTTTTCTGCCCTTGATAACGGCAGTCTCTGTCTTCTCTGTATTAGGGAGTCTGTCACAGCCCCCGTCCCCTTCCCGCCCTTAACTCACCTTGGCGTTGGCAGTATCGAAAATAGTTTCAACAAGTAAGATCTCGACGCCACCATCCAGAAGGCCCATCGCCTGCTCTCGGTACGCTTCCACGAGCTCATCGAACGCTGGGAGAGGGCGAGCACAGCACGGCGGTCACCGAGAGCCCAAGTGGCCCCAGGGAGTGTGAGCCCCACCTGGCACCCGTGGCCTGTTGCTGGCCTACCACAAGCAGCTCAGGGGCAGCGCCGGGCCATGGAGGGAGTGACAGCGAGTGGGTGGCGCTGCTCCCACCACCGCGGCACGTGTGGGGAGCAGGACAGCATGTGCACATCTGGGACCCCACGTCCTCCTCTCGGCCTCTTTAAAGACGACTCACACTTGGAGGGGCATTTTGATTGGCTGAGCGCGAAGTGTGAGGCGTGGCACGCTGTCTGCCCTGTCCAGCTGAGCCCCGCCCTCCTCCACAGTCGTGGGCAGGGGTCATCTGCAGGGTTTCCACCTCAAAGGGGAGCGCGGCCACCCCAGGACAAAGTGCCGAGGGAGCGCTCCGACCCGAGAAGGCGCCTTCCCGTTTTACCCCCAGCCACAGGACAGTGCTCAGGTGCAACAGAGCCGCCGCGCGGCAGCAGCTGCCCCGGATGGTGCAGGAGCGGGGACCGCGGAGCCAGGCCCGTCAGACCTAGGACGGCACAGAGTGCTCCTGGCACGGGCAGCCCGTCGAGTGTGCACCGCGGCACGGAAAGCCTGTGGCCCAGGACCTGCAACCACACCCTTGTGAAAGTGCAGCCCACAAAGCTCACGGCCACGTACCGGGATCACACCCCTCACCTCCGGTAGTTTCATTCTTTCTGGTTTTATTTTTACTTTTTCAAATTTAATCACACATTTCTCCCAAGAGAACAAACACTAAGAGACAGACACCCTCAACAGGGTCTTCCTGCCTCCATCCACCCCGTCTACACTGATGTGGATCATTGAGTGTGCTTGGGGAGGCCCAGGACCCAGACCCAGGGCCTTCCCACGCGGGCCTGGCGTGTTCCCGCCGCGCCACCGCCTGTCCCTGGTTTTAGTCATGCTTAGAAAGCTACCTACATTCCTGGATGTTCTGGTCAAACCTCAACATAAACGTGTTAATAAACCCGAGTTTACGAGGCTTGTGCGTTAGCATGTTTAGACGGTCCGGACTGCTCTCTGGTAAACTGAGTGGAGCACAGTGGGCTACGTTACAATGGAGCAAGACCCGATATCCAATTTTCCCAATTTCTCAGTTTAAAGCTTTATTTCAATTTTTTATTTCACAGTAACAAAGAAACTCTAGGTGGCTGACCAGCTCGGGCCTTGGACCTGGTGGCTTGCTCGCTCGCTCTCTCTCTCTCTCCCTCTCTGAGGAGTGTGTCCTATAGCAAATTTTAAAATAATAATAATGATGAATAAACTTAAATAATTCTAAAAACAAAGAAAAGAGAGAAACCCTAACCCAACACACGCATTGGCACCTGAAGGGGACTCGGGTATGACACTGGCAACAGCGGAGCTAGCGTGGCATCTCGATGGCTGCCCCAGGCCCTGTGGGGGCCCTCCACAAGCACGGGTCACGCTCGCCCTCAGGCAGACGCTGCCACGGACGCGCCTTAGGTCGCTGCGGCACGCAGGCACAGAATGTCCGTGACTACACGTGAAGGTACTCACTGATATTCCTGTAATCGGGTCTCTCCACAGACGGGGACACTGACAGGGTCTTATTTGTGGGACCCAGAGCTCCTGCCACGAACCTCTTCACTCCTGTGGGAAAGGAAGACAAGCATGGCGTCTCCAAAGGGCGAGACCATCAGGCTGTAAACAGGCAGGCTGTGGGCTTCTCCTGGGACGCGGGGCTCCAATGCTTAGTCCACAATTCGGAAATCCAAAACGCTTTAAAAAACCCAACTTCTTCCTGGATTCATTTACAACAAAACTGAACCTCTACTGAACTATCAAGAGGCTATTTACAGCTCTCATCCTAGTTCGTGGGATGATTCGTGGATCTGTTGACATGCGCTTGATCACGAGGCCACGTGGATCCCAGTGGAGAAGCCACAATTCTACGCATGTGTGCCAACGTGGCCAGGCCGACAGAGAACACTGAGCTCTCCACCTCTGCCCAGACGCGTTCCAGAGTAAAGCCCTCCACGGCCGTGTGCGTGCGTCCTCCCTCCCGTCACCACGGCTGTGTGCGTGCGTCCTCCCTCCCGTCACCACGGCTGTGTGCGTGCGTCCTCCCTCCCGTCACCACGGCTGTGTGCGTGCGTCCTCCCTCCCGTCACCACGGCTGTGTGCGTGCGTCCTCCCTCCCGTCACCACGGCTGTGTGCGTGCGTCCTCCCTCCCGTCACCACGGCTGTGTGCGTGCGTCCTCCCTCCCGTCACCACGGCTGTGTGCGTGCGTCCTCCCTCCCGTCACCACGGCTGTGTGCGTGCGTCCTCCCTCCCGTCACCACGGCTGTGTGCGTGCGTCCTCCCTCCCGTCACCACGGCTGTGTGCGTGCGTCCTCCCTCCCGTCACCACGGCTGTGTGCGTGCGTCCTCCCTCCCGTCACCACGGCTGTGTGCGTGCGTCCTCCCTCCCGTCACCACGGCTGTGTGCGTGCGTCCTCCCTCCCGTCACCACGGCTGTGTGCGTGCGTCCTCCCTCCCGTCACCACGGCTGTGTGCGTGCGTCCTCCCTCCCGTCACCACGGCTGTGTGCGTGCGTCCTCCCTCCCGTCACCACGGCTGTGTGCGTGCGTCCTCCCTCCCGTCACCACGGCTGTGTGCGTGCGTCCTCCCTCCCGTCACCACGGCTGTGTGCGTGCGTCCTCCCTCCCGTCACCACGGCTGTGTGCGTGCGTCCTCCCTCCCGTCACCACGGCTGTGTGCGTGCGTCCTCCCTCCCGTCACCACGGCTGTGTGCGTGCGTCCTCCCTCCCGTCACCACGGCTGTGTGCGTGCGTCCTCCCTCCCGTCACCACGGCTGTGTGCGTGCGTCCTCCCTCCCGTCACCACGGCTGTGTGCGTGCGTCCTCCCTCCCGTCACCACGGCTGTGTGCGTGCGTCCTCCCTCCCGTCACCACGGCTGTGTGCGTGCGTCCTCCCTCCCGTCACCACGGCTGTGTGCGTGCGTCCTCCCTCCCGTCACCACGGCTGTGTGCGTGCGTCCTCCCTCCCGTCACCACGGCTGTGTGCGTGCGTCCTCCCTCCCGTCACCACGGCTGTGTGCGTGCGTCCTCCCTCCCGTCACCACGGCTGTGTGCGTGCGTCCTCCCTCCCGTCACCACGGCTGTGTGCGTGCGTCCTCCCTCCCGTCACCACGGCTGTGTGCGTGCGTCCTCCCTCCCGTCACCACGGCTGTGTGCGTGCGTCCTCCCTCCCGTCACCACGGCTGTGTGCGTGCGTCCTCCCTCCCGTCACCACGGCTGTGTGCGTGCGTCCTCCCTCCCGTCACCACGGCTGTGTGCGTGCGTCCTCCCTCCCGTCACCACGGCTGTGTGCGTGCGTCCTTCCTCCTACCCACAGGGAGACTAGAGGTCCTGCACCTCACAGGCGCTGCCAGCACCTCACAGTGGCATTGTCCACGGACCCCAGCACCCACTGCAGGCCTCAGTGCCGGGGGCTACCTCGGCAGTCACAGCCCTAAGGCCTGTGATGAAGGAGGAAGTGAAGCGAATGCTAGGCTAGCAATTCACTAATAACCGTTCCTCGAGGACAGAGCCTGGGAAGCTGTGCTCACTCGCACACCACGATGGAAGCCAGGGGCCGCTCTGCTCTGCGCTTCGCCATCACTGACTTTAGCCACTCAGTGCCACAGGCTGTGCTGTACGCTGAACTAGAGACCACCGACTGGGTAATAACCCAGCCTTGGAACAGGTTATAGACCCAGATACTCTTCATCTTCCCCAAAGCTGAACACTAATGTGGGCCTAAGAAAAACGCCCCCTCCTCTCCCCGTGTCAGCAGATCGGTACCCTCTGCCCTGCGAACCTGCCGGGCGGTCCTGCACCGCCGTGACCTGGACACCGTCTCTCGGAGGCAGAGCCCTTGCCATGCTCGGTCTTCATTGGTGTGCTGTGTGCCACTTCCCAGCAAGTTTGCTTTCTGACGTCACATTTCCAGACCTCAGTCCTACCTCCTCCCGCAGCCTCCCACCGGACAGCCGGCCAGAGGGTGCTTACCACAGTGCCACTTTCTGAGTCCCACCAAGACCACCTCTCGTGCTACTCCATAGGCTGGGGAGCCCCTAGGGACAGCAGCAGGACACGGAGCACTGGGCGGGCAGCCTCTACCCAGGTGAATCATGAGAAAGCGAGGCTCCGGGGGGCTGGCCAGCACCCTAGCGGTCACCAAGGCGCTCACAGAGCCAGTGCCACGCTAACAGCCAAAGAGCTTCCAGGTGGAAAGCACCTGAGCTCTACACACGCCACAGGTCGTGGGCCTCGTCAGTCAGGCTGTGACCTCCCCCAGGTCAAGGAGCTAACTGAGCGTCCCGGCCCCGAGCTGCTGGTTCAGAGGCCAGATGCTTGTGCAACCACGGCTCACGAGGAAGTGGGCACCGCCTGCAGGGCGGCTTGCAAGCCAAAGTCACATAAGAAAAAGCACAGTGAGGACAGCTCGTCACAGCGGAGAGCATCGAGGGACGCCAGTGGGCCCAAGCCCAGGTCCAGTCGCAGGAGCACAACTGGCTGCTGCTGTCACTCGGCAAGGTGACGCCACATGGGAGTCCCAGGTTCAAGTCCCAGCTCACCCTACCAAGCCAGGCAAGGCGGCCCACACCTGTAGTCCTAGCTGCTCAAGGCTCTGAGGCAGAAGGACACATACACTGAAGCCCGTGTTTAGAACAAACGATGACAGAGGAGGAGGATGCGCCTCACCTGTCTGCTGAGTCACCTCTGCAGCAGCTTCTCTGGCCAGGTCCGCCGAGCACTTGTTCATCCGGTAGACCTGACACACAACCGCACATGTCAGCTCCTCTCCTTCCCCCCGTGACGGCTGAGGGACTTGGGAAAAGCCTGAGTCACTGGGAGTTCTGAGGGGAATCTCAGCCACCGCCCCACCAGAGCCTGAGCCCTCAAAGGTCGCAAAGAGGGCCGGGTTCGTGCACAAGGAGGACCAAGAGCCACTTTGCAAGTCCCAGCCAGGTTGACTCTACTGCACAATGGGCCCTAAGCACTATAGGCACCAGGCTCTCCCCCTACCAGGAGCCAGCTGCTGGGCTGTGTGGGCCCCTGGACACCTGACTGCACAGAGCTCCAGTGTCATGGCAGAAATCTTGAAAACAAAAGCATGTAACTGAGGACCAGCAGACGGCGTAATAGTTATGTCGCTGGACTCTCACGTAGTTGACCATGGTTCAAGTCCAGGACCCAGTGGCTTGAAACTCATACAGGGGTGTGTGCGTGTATGCCCAAAATTCCAAGAGGAGAATAGAGAAGGGATTGTGGAGTGGCCATCTCCCCGGGGGTGCCTTCTCACTTTCTGCCTGCCTCTCTAGTGACCACACGCACCCTATAGCAAAAATAAAAAAATTCTCTTAAAGAAAAAAAATAAAGGCACATGTCTGAAAACACCCCACACGAAAATGGGGCCCTGCATCCACAGTCATTCCCACCTTACGCATTTCACAAAGCTTGAAAATGAAAACACCCCACACGAAAATGGGGCCCTGCATCCACGGTCATTCCCACCTTACGCATTTTACAAAGCTTGAAAATGAAAACAGCACACGAAAATGGGGACCCTGCATCCACAGTCATTCCCACCTTACGCATTTCACAAAGCTTGAAAATGAAAACACCAGTGATCAGAAGGAACCCAAGGCCCAGCAGAGCAGGAAGGCATTGCTGCGTGACAGACAGGTGGGCTCAGTCCCTGACCGCCCAAACGGGCCAGGTGCAATGCGCACACCTGTGGTCGGGTGCAGCACGGCGAGACTACAGGGTACCGCTCTCCCTCCCACACGTGCTCGCTCTCTTTCTCATAACAAAGAGCAAAAAAGTAAAAAAGCAAATCTACCACCCTGCACCCACTAAGATGGCTACGACCAAAAAACCAACCGTAACAAGAGCTGGCAAGGATGTACACATGAGGGCCTTCAAAAAGTCTATGGAGGGGCTGGCCCTGCAGCACGTGGGCTCACTCACTCTCTCTCCCAACAAAAGAAGTCCATGGAGCATGTATGTGTATTATGAAAAAGCCACACACACCTTCAAGTTTTTGCACCAAATAGACTTGTACTAACTGCTATACCACGTCTGAGTGGGGTCAAGTCTGAGTTGCAGAAAAGGGTAAGGTGCTGGGTGGAAGAAAGTCCCTAACAAAGCAGCATGAATTCTGCTAAAACTAAAACAAGATCAAACAGCAAATGATGGTGAAGTTCGGGTGGAAGGAAAGTGGAATCACTGAGGTTTTCCAGTCTGTGGTGGGGGCAGCTGATGGTGCCACTAGGGTGGCTAGATCTCATATGAACAACCGTGAGCTCCACATTTCAGACCTGGTGGCTTAAAAAGCACATGGGGGTGTGTGCATGGGTGACCTACATACCAACAGGAGGGGGAGACGGAGAAGGGACAGACATGGCCATCCCCCACAGGGATGCTTTCACATCCCTCTCATCTCTGCCTCACCCCAGCAAGTGCGTGTGACCTCTAGCAAAATTTTTCTTAAAAAATCATTTGTAAGGGACCAGCGGGTGGCATGGTGGTTAAGGTGCTGGACTCCCACATACGGACCACAGTTGAAGTCTCAGACCCAAAGGCTTGAAAACCACACTGGGCATGTGCGTGCATGCCTCAAATCCCTGGGGGATGATGCGGAGAGGAGACTTCAGGGACTGGCCTCTTGGCAGGTGACTTCTCACTTCCCCTTCCACTGTCTTTCTCCAGTAAGCACACACGCAAAAACCTTTTTTTTTTTGGAGAGGTTTTCGCTATAGGGCGCGTGCTCTCGCCAGACAGACAGAGACAGAAAGCGAGAAATCACCCCCCAGGGGGGATGGCCACGCCACAATCCCTTCTCCTCCATTCTCCTCTCGGGATCTTGGGCACGCACGTACACGCGCCCGGCGTGAGTTTAAGCCACTGGGTCCCGGCCGCAAACTGCAGTCGACTACGTGGGAGCGACATAGCCATTACGCTAGCTGCTGGTTCCCCATGCAAAAACCTTTTTAAAACATCACTGTAAAAGCTATGAAATGTGTGCGCATAGCAACGACTGTCTTGAAGAACTACCGTGTGGTGTCACTCCACGTGATTATTTCTTGCCCATAGAAGGACCCAGCTGGAGCTTAAACGAGCTGCTGTCCTCATAAGCAGGAGACACAGAGCACGTCCCCGGCCTCCCACAAACACAGGCTCACTGAGCTCCACGTGCTGTACTCTCTCCCCAGCACAACGTGGCCAACGCTCACGAGCTCCTAAGCCAGCGAGGAAAAGGAATTCTTACCAAGTGCTCCAAGCCATAGTCAGCCTGGGCAATGCTGGTGCTGCTGAAAGTGTTTGTTTCAATGATATCTGCCCCGGCCAGCAAGTATTCCTGCAACGAGAGGCGGTGACGTCAGTTCTCACGAGCCCGAGAGTGCCTGACACAAACATCACCGTGGTCAACTGCTTGAAGTGCACATGGTTGTTTAAGCCACTCACTGTCGTTACTGGCAGCCAGAATTAAGGCACCACCTCCTAACACCCCTTCGTCAGGGCTGCTGTAGGGAAGTAAGCGGGTGAGTGGGTGTGAGAACCACAACCTGTCCGGGATTCAGTAGTGTTCCCCAGGAGCTGAAGTGCCTAGCGGGCAGGACACCTCCTCCATCTCCCCTCCAGGGTGTCCCACACAGTGCACCGCTCCATCTGGTCCCAACAACTCTTCCTCCCGTTTCCCCAGAGCACCAGCAGGGCATGCCCTGGCACGTCAGACAGCCTGCATGGGGCGTGCTGCCCTGGCACGTCAGACAGCCTGCACGGGGCGTGCGTGCCGAAGAGAACGGGGATGCTTCACCTTGTGGATCTGGCGAATGACGTCGGGCCGCGTTATGCTCAGGATGTCGTTGTTGCCTTTCAGTGGCCTGGCATGACCTCTGAACTCTTGACCTCGGAAGTCGTCTTCCTCTAGCCTGTACCGCTGGATCATGGTCCCCATCCCTCCGTCCAGCACCATGACCCTCTTCTGCAGAATGGCTTCAATCTCATCGTGCAGCGTTTGCTTCATGGCTGCTTTAAGCAAAGGAAACATTTGACTTTAGAAGAAGCAGAACTCACCAGGCGTGAGTGTGCGTGTCTGTAACCCTGGCTACCTGGGAGGCCGGGGCAGGGAGATGGCAACACAGCAAGACCCTGAGAAAAGGACCTGTCTTTCCCTCCCTCCCTTCCCTCTCCTCTGAAGAGGGAAAACCCTGACAGGATGGAGGAACTGCAAAGGGACTGCAGCATGGCCACGCCCACTGGGGATGCTTCTTCCCTGTCTCCAGTGAGCACAAGAACCCCTGGCAACTGAAAACAAAGAAAAACGGACGAAGGTGTACGTAGTCGAGGGAATCTGAACAGCCGGTAAGCATATAAGGGGTATGCAAACTTATTAGCTATCGAATTAAATCAAGATGACACCAATTCACACCCAGTAGGTGGACAGTAATTAAAATACTGGATAATACCAAAGAAATCTGAACCCTCAGGCTGGAGACAGACACCGCCATAGCAGGGCCTCGGACAACTAAGCGTGTGGGGAGCACAGTGCTCTTGCTCCTGGGTGTACTTCCCCAAGCAAGTCTCAAACAGGTTCTTAAGCGCCGAAAGATGCTTGTAGGAGTTGCGAGTTAGAGGCAGGCTTGAAAATGGTTCCAAGGTGCTGGGTGCTCTCTGGGGAGAACCACATGTGGAAAAGTTTTAAAGATAGAGAAATACTCTAACCAGATACACCAGAGGCACAGGTGGCTCTCAGAATAGTAAGTGGAAAAGTTTAGAAACGTTAACTACAGGGACCAGTTGGCCTAACAGCTATGTCGCTGGACTCCCACATAGTCAACAGCGGTTCGCATCCCGGACCCAGTAGCTTAAAACTCACGCCGGGCGCATGTGCGTGCGTGCGTGCCCAAGATCCTGAGAGGAGAATGGAGAAGGGATTGCAGCATGGCCATCCCCCCTGGGTGATTTCTCACTTTCTGTCTCTCTGTCTGGCGAGCACACACGCCCACTCATGCGGCACAGCAGTAAACGCTGCAAAGACACTGGACCCCACGGGCGACCGCAGGCGGCCTGAAGGACGGGAAGAAGGGACAGAGGCTCGATCAGACCGTGGAGGGTGCCGTCTCTGTCTCATCTGTCTCACGCGCTCTATTACGAGTGAAGAGAGAACTCCACACACACAGACTGGTCCACGAGAAAACCAGACGTGTGTGAGACGGGTGCCGAGGGAGGGAAGAGAACTGGGGAACAGAGATGAACGAGAACAGCTAAGGGAACGAGTGTGTGTGGGAACCGTGGGTAATGATGCAGAACTCCCACCGATGAGGTCCTCGGCAGCCCGCCGCTCCCATAGCGCTCACCTGCTGATTTTTTTCGG